GGTGCCTCCGCCCTGCACTTCCTGGACTTCTCAATGGAGGCAGGGTGTGGGACTTAGCTTCTCGGGGTTGTCAAATGTAGGGCAGCTCCTAGCTTCTCTACCCACCCCCATTCTAATAGCTTTGGTGGTACAGGCTGCCCTGCTGTCTCAGAAGCTACCATCTCTAGGTAAGCAGAATTGAATGGTTTTTTATTTTAATAAAAAAATTTAAAGAATGTAAGTATGTTACCTGCAGATGCCCCTTGGTATTTGTGAGGGACTGATTCTAGGACTCCTATCATGCAACAAAGTTCTCAGAGTCTTAGGCCCCCTATGTAAAATGCATAGTCTTTGCATATAACCTTTTCTTGAATATATATAATAGCCTGTGCTGATGTAAATACTAAGTAAACAGTTGCTATGCCGTATTGTGTTGGGGTTAATGACAGAAAAAAGCCAGTGTATGATAGATACAATTATTTCCAAAGTATTTTCAATCCAGGGTTGGTTGAATCCATGAATGTCAGGGATTTGGAGGGCCAACTCTGTGCACATTTTAGAAGAGGCAGGCCTTTGTGAGGACATTTGGTGAATTAGGGAGGAGCCTCAATCAACCAACCTCCCTCCTTCCCTCTTTTTTTTTTTTTTTTTTTTTAGGTACCAGGCATAAAATTCAGGACTTTGTGCTTGCCAGGTGGGTGTTTATGTTGCTGAGCTATTTACCTGGCCCCTGCTCTTTTCATTTTTTTATTCAAAAATGAAAAGGCTGGAGATACAGCTTAGTAGAATACTTTCTCAGTACGCGCTAGTTCCTGGGTTCAGTCTCCTGTAACATGTTCACACGTGCGCATGTGCGCGCACACACACACACACACACACACACACACACAATATTAGTGTCTCTAACTTACAGAAGTAGCACTTCCAGACAATCTCAGGGTACCTGTGACCCCATGTCTGGTGAGTTTGGTCAGTGTCTCTTGGGAAAACTCCACAGCCCAAGCCTGGATCCTGATAGTGAGAACTGCGCTTTAGGTGCCAGGTTAAATGTCATGTTACTTTGTTCACTGTACAAAGTGCCCCGTGGATCCTTCCTCACTTAGTGTCTGGTATCAGTGTGTAATTTTATTTTTCGTTTAGTTGCAAAGGCTGGCTGGGTCCAGCATGCGAGTTCGGGGCTGCTATTCATCCTTGTGTGGTGACGCTGTGTCTCCAGATGTGACCAATGAGGAGAAGCACCGAGATGTTTCTGTGAAGGCTGCTCGTATCGGTTCTTCAGAGGACTGCGGGCTTTAGCTGAGTATGTTGTGCAAAGATAGAGAACTCAGATACAAGCACTGTGACTTCATCTCACTCTGCTGTGAGGCCTGGGTCTCAGGGTATGGGCTTTACTGCCTATCATCAAGTGCCTACTGTTAGGTCTTTGAGGACAGTTAGTAAAGATTCATGCCAGGGAGTGGTAGGGATTGGGGAACGGCATCTGGATGTTCTGTGCTGCTCCTCCTGAGGCCCATGAAGAGACAGACTTGCCAAGGTGGAATCAGCTAGTCTTAGACTTGGAAAACCCAGACAATTCTGAATCCTTATCCTAATTCTGCCATACCTGTCATTGTCCTTAGGTCTCTGGGCAGCACCAGTTGAAGGTTCCACGTTATTTAATTTCTTGGTCAAGAGCATCTGGAGGGGCTGGGGAGATAGCTTGGTGATATAAGTGCCTGCCTAGCAAGCACAAGGGCATGGGTTTGATCCCTGTTACTGTATGCTGTGCTGGCCACTAAATTGAGGTGTGGTGGTGCATGCCTGTAATCCTAGTGCTGGGGAGGCTGAGCAGTAGGATCACTATGAGTTTGAGCTGCGTAGCAAGACCCTGTACCAAATGAATGAATGGATGAATGAATTAAAAAATTGCATATCGAGAAGACAAATACAGACCTGGGTCTTCAGAAACATTGTGGACTGGTGTCCTCTTCATATGTGTCTAAGGACTTCAGACCTCTGAAGTCTGAATCTGCTTAACTGTTAGCCAGTTTGGGATCATGGAGTTAGTGGTAAGGTTTCCCTATACTGGATTTCTAACTGGTAGTCAACTTATTACATTCAACTGAATTAAACTAGCGTGGTGCTGGGTGTGGGAGGCCCACCTGAGGGTTGTTGCCAGCAACATAAAAGGCAGAACAGGAGCAGTTGCTAAAATGCTGTTAGGGATGCTGTTTGGAGAAGGTGAAGCTGTTGGAAGCTGCTACTTCTCTTGGGCATTCTGCTGGAGAACCTCATCATGCTGGCTTTCCTGATGAACTTTGGAGGAGCTTGGGTCCTCATCTTGAGCATTGCTTCCTGGCTCTAGAGGGAAAGACGGTACACTGCTCAGCCTCATGAAAAAGCTTGTTGTATTGACTTTCCTGATGGGAACTTGGCTCTCCTCATTGCTGGAGGAGCTCTGGACCTCACTGTTGCTGAGGATGGCTGTGGTACTTTTGGGGGAGCTCTGGTGCTTACCTTGAGCATTGCTTCCTAGCTCCAGTTCAGATCTCTCAACCTGCTAGCACAGACCCTTCATCCTGCTGGCATAGACTTCCTAGCTCCCACCACTGACCTTTGGGCCTTCCTAGCACAGATCTATGAAGTGGACCTGCATGAGACTTTGTTGTGGGCTCTAGGCCTCCCGTTGGAGTTGTGGCAGGCATTGTTATGAGCTCTAGGTTTTCAGGTGGACTCATGCAGACTATTAGGATCTCAGCCCTCAGCTGGAGTCTTTAGTGTTTGTGTGTGGGGACAGATTTCCTGCACTTCTTATATGTGATTCTTGGGTGATTCATCACATAATTATATTATACAAAGTGTCTTCTACAATGTTGTTCACCTTGCAAAAACCCCAAACCACAACACTCCCCCTTGCACCTTTAGCTTCGTCCAAGAGTGAAGTGCTCCCAGATTGCATTAAGGCAGTGGTCGCTTCAGAAACTCCAGGTCCTCCTCCCAGGGTAGAGAACATCTGCACAGTTTGGGGAGGCGACTGAGAAAAGCAGTGAAGTAATTGTATCTACTGGTTTTGGAGTGCCTGTCACCAAGAGACTTTGAAATGGCCTTGGAAGATTTAAGATTCCTGCACGCTTCCTATCCATGTCACAGTGATGAATCTGAACTATTGTGGTAGGAAATATCACTCAGCTCTTGGGGTCTGAAGTTCTTTGTATACTTAATTTTTTCAAAAAGTTGCAATGAGTGGTTCACCCCTAGATTTTGTTGGGGTAAGTATGCTATTCTGCCAGACCTTTCAGGTTTAATACACGATGCCTGTTTGGGTTGGGCATTTTGCTGTTTCTTGGCATTGTGCTGTTTGATTTGTTATAATTTGTGTTTCTTGCCATCATACAGTTTGATTCTGGATTTGTTTCTTTGCTCTAGCCCCCCACTCCTATCCCCCATGCAAGATTTTGCAGGAACAAGTGGTTTCGTTGGTCACTGGGTTGCTATTTGGCAGGCTGGGAGCTCTTCTTATAATAACAGGACAAGGCGGGAGGGACTGATTTCACCCTCTTCAAGGGAGGGGAGTAACTCAATTGACATTCTGTTATAACTTAGCAGCCCGTTAATGGCCACTTACTGGAAAATATTATAAGACTCTGTGGTGAATGTTGTTAGAAACTGAGTTACTCTGTATATTTCCCCAGGGCCCATTTTGCCCTCGCCTGGAGTAGACGCGTGGAGCTGCAGGAAGTGGCATTGTGTTGCAATCACAGCTTCATTGTTCCTTCATCTTATTTATTTTGTATTTCAAAAATAATTATATTCCTTTTAAAGGAACTAAGACTTGCCAAGAGCCCAGGGGAGTCTACTGGGTTGTATGCTGGCTAGCTCCAGCTGGAGAATGCCCAGCACCATCAGTGTCACATGTGATTTGAGTCCCTTTAAACCTCCCTTGACCTTCTTGTCTTTACCCATGAATGGTTTCAGCCAGTCATTTCTTTTGGTTTTGTAAAATTACTTACTTTGCAAAGCCTTTGATGGGCTGCAGAGGTGAACGAATGTGAGTTTACTGGCTGTCCAACCCTAGCCAGTTCACTTAACCTCTCTGAGGCTCCCAGGATTCATACCTGTTGGCAGATGCAGAGATGGGTTCCCCGGAGTGAGGAAATGAATGAAATTATGTGAATGGAGGCAAGTGACAACAAAGCCTGAAATTGCTAAACCCTGGTCAAAAGTTTCCTCCCTCTCTTCCTTGCCAATATAAAAATAAAACCGCAGCAACAGAATGGTCCCCGTTGTTAAGTTATTGGGTTGTAAGCTGCATGGGGGAGGAAGGGAGCTTCTCCATCAGTTTGCTTTTGGCCCAGGGAAGTCTTTGCCCCTCCTTTCCACACAAGGAAGACAGAGGCGGCATGTATGCAGATTACGCAGATTTTTATAGAGGTCAACTTGGCTCTGAGCCCTTTGGAAGGAATTAATTAAAAGGCGTTTGGGTGCAACGATATTGAGTAGAGGAAGTGTAACTACTGGCTGGGGCCAGTCCAAGAGGCCCATCTTCCTTAGCCTGTGGGTACACAGCTTGTTTCTGGTGGATGGTAGGAAGCATATTGCCTCCAGCTGTAATGTCATTTTGGGTGGGTTGGTCTCCTTCCAGAGGACTCCACACTGGGCTGGTCGCAGTCGTCTTCCCTTTCTGGGTCGCGTTTTCAGCTCCTTGGGTCCACTAGGGATCCCAGTCATCTCTGAAGTAAATGAAATAATTGTCACCAGCCTCCCACTTAATTACTGTGGTTGCTGCTCCTCTTTTCCCTGAATGAGCAGAGGAAGTCCTCTGGGGCACTTGGCAGCCTCACTCCCTGATGGCACCAGAGCTGGGATATTTGAGGTCTGGTGGGTTCCACAGTCTTTCCTTCTGTGCCCATCTGGACGGCTTCCCTAGGCCCATCTTGTAGAGGCCCTAGGGGCCATGGGCAGCTTGCTTGCTGGACTCCACATACCACTGGCTCACACTGATGCGGCTGTGGTTTGTTTCTCTTTCCTTCCTCCCACTCCAGAGTACAAGAAGAAGTACGGTGAGGAACATGGCTCCTGCCAGGCGGGGATGGCAGGCTTCTTCGCTGAGGTAGGTGTCAGCCATTTGGGCCCATCTCTTCTCTTCTTGTCTTCCTTTCCATGATTTGGGTGACCTGTGGAAGTGAGACTTCTGGTGTCCCGGATGTGCAGCCCATGGCCGAGCAGATTCTGGTGCTCACATCACAAAGGTTATTTAAAACTGGTGGGGGCCTCAGTGGCCCGAGTCCATTGGGCGGAGGAGGTGGGCTGGAGATTTTTATAGAGGTCAACTTGACCCTGAGCCCTTTGGAAACTATTGATTAAAGGGGCCTCACTGGCAGTTGTCAAGATATGTCAAGCATACAAGCATTGTGGCAAGGTCCTTTGAGACACAGTGCTATTTCTTTTCTCAAATTCTGAAGGATTCTGCCCTTGAATCTGTCTTTCGAGCAGCAGCATTCTTAGGGACTGTTTTCTTATGTGATTCTAATCTGTAAATTTGCTCTTCATTCTTCATTCCACAAACGTTTTTATGTTTGCCTGCTCTGTGCAGTGTTCCTTGCTAGGTGTTGTAAGGGTCACCACTGACCATTGAGTTCCATAGGCCAAACATAAAAAGTACTTTAATTCTAGTTCATCTAAAATCATTAGTCTTAATTTCCAAAGCATATTCCAAATGATAGATTTCCTTTATTAAAACCATCACTTCAGGGCCGGGGAGATGGCTCCATAGAATAAGCGCTTCCCTGGCAAGTGCAAGGGCCTGAGTTCAGTCCCCAGTTCCAATAAATAAATAAATAAATAAATAAATAAATAAATAAATAATCACTTCCTGATCACCACTGGACTTCTAAAAAATCGAATGCTGTCACCTGGAGAGAAACTAGCTCTGAATTGGTCTCCTTCAGTCCATTAAAAAAAAAAAAAATCTTTGGTCAGATATAGATAACATAAAATTTTGCATTTTAACCATTTTTAAAGTGTAAAGATCAGTGGCATTTTATAGTGTTGTACAGCTATCACCATTGCCTAGCTTTGGGCTTGTTGTTGTTGTACTGGGACTTGAACCATGGCTTCACACACACCAGGCAAATGCTCTGTCATGGAGCTACTCCTAAAGCTCAAGTTTTAGAACATTTCCATTGCCTCAGCCTGTGTCATTCTAGACTCCCTACTGTGTGTTTCTTGCACACCAGCCCGAGGGATTTTTTTCACCATAATTTTATTGATAAACAAATGGTAATGAGACAGTTTCAAATCAAATTGGTAGGACAGTTTCAATAATTAGCACATTGCATACATTCTTCCTAGTGGTTAATTGCTGTACAAGATGTGGACATGATATCCTATTTACAAACACCATTAGAACAAATCCTTCTATTCATTAAGAGAATGTAACTATATATCTATCCTAACCACTTTAAATACACAGATACAAAATGGACATTCATCTGTATACCCTTTTTTTGTTAAGTTCCGTTATTTGAATATTATAGGTGAGTTAACTCAGCAAAATATTCTGAAAGAGTCCAGTAGCCCATAATAGTATTGGGTCTTCCACTTCACTGGCAATGTCAGAAATTGTTGACCTGAGTCCCCTACAGCTCAATATAAGAGCATGGCTTTACTTCTTATATTTTGTTTTTATACTTTTCTGCTGGATGGTTAAGACCAAGGTAAAGCATGACCTATGCAAGCAGAGTTGTAGCTTTTGGGTCTGATAAGGTCAGTGAAATCCCCTCAGGATTTATCCTGAGATTCTGTACCTCAGATTGTAGAACCTTTGTCATTGTCCGCTATGTGGATGAGTCACGGTCATTGCTTGGCCAATGTGCTCTCTGTGAAAGCCTGAGAGAATGTTTTCTCTCCATGTGACTCTCCTTAGGCACACTCTACATCATCGATCACTAAGTTGTTTGGTAATAACAATAAGCTTGTCTTCTGGATGGTTAACAACCTAAGTTTGCAGACCAAAATTAGAGAAAAAGGAGGGCTGCAAGGAAAGCCAACATTTTGGCCCTAGCCTTTCAAGGTCAATTAAGACTCAGGACATTTGAGAACTTGTACTGTAATGTCATGTAACTCAGTAGTGTCCCAAATTTTGTGATCAAAATTATGGGGTCAAGGGATCTTTAAAGTCAAAGCCATCATTCTGACTCTGTGACTTCTCATTACATGAGCAAGTAAGACCCAAATTCCACCTCTGGTTGCATGGGCCTAGTAACCTGAGGACTTCTTCCTTCACTCCTCCAGAGCTGGAGGAGAGCACAGGACTTGAAGGAAGGAGAAAAGATGGATCATATTCTGATTTCAAAAGCTTTCTGGAGAGTGTCCTTCTGAGCCAGGAAGCTCATCTTCATTTCAGAAGCTATAGTTTAATTTTAAAGAGAAAATAGGAAGTTGACAATAGTATTTAGAGAACAGAAAAAGAAAAGGTAGAAAGTCAGAAATCTCCTCCTTTACTCTTAAGCCAGTAAATATGAGATGCTTCCCTCCAGCCCCACCTTCAGTAATTCTGATGGCCATTAACACAGGTGTCATTTTAATGGCTTTGCAGCATTTTGTGCTAGACCCTGTGAATGGAACCCCCAGTTATCTCAACTATTCAGGCCAAAAAACTCAAAAGATGCTCTTTTACCATCCTCTACTCTATCAGCCACCAGAAAGTCCTACCTCTCATGCCCTTAAAACCTACCACAAAAGCGTTTATTTCTCTCCACGCTTCACAGATCTAACCTAGTGGTTTTCCCCCTAGCCTACTGTAGAGCCCTCCTGTTGGCCTTCTTCCACTCTCACTTCTGACAGACAAGTCTCAGAACCATCTTTTACAAGCAAAGAAGTGTCTTGGTGCTCTATGCAGAGAACTGCCTGGTGTCTTCCTCTCCATTTGCAGTGAGGTCCATTTGCCTTTTCTGGAGTGGGCTTTCAGGCCCTCCTGCCCTCCAACCTCATCTGTTCCCTGGCCTCCCCTGACTCACTGCTTCCCTGACTCGGTGGCTGGTAGAATGTGCCACACACTAACTGCAGCATGGGCCTGGAGACACACACACATGTGTGCCCACACGCATACACCCCTGTGCTTACACACACATTTCTTTAAAAGAGACGTGTTGGAGTCCAGAGGTGCTCAGAGTTGGACTTTTGATACATTTTGGTGCACTGCATTCCACAAATGTTTACTAATCCATCACTTCACCACCGCTTAGGTCTGTCCCAGCATTCTCTTGCCAACATTTTAGTATTCTGTTGCTGAAAAATCATTTTATTTTAATGTCCAGCTATTTGTTAGTGTAATTGCAATCTTTTTCAAATATTGGCCATTTTTATTTTTTCAGAAAATTTCTTGATAATGTTAATTTATTGCTTTGCTTTTTTTTTTTTTTAACTTCAGAGATTATTTCTGATCTGATTTCCTCAATACGTATGTGCAGGAAGGTCTCACTCACATGCCAGGCCTAGGCTGGTTCTGGAGGGGTCCAGAGGGTTCCTGAGAGCACAGCGGAAGGTCTCACTCACATGCTGGGCCTGGGCTGGGTCTGGACATTGCTTTGGTTTTGTTGTGGTTATTTTATTGATGTGTGGGAACTTAGAACATATTTTATGCTAACTTATATTTGTTGCAAAAACATCTTTTTGAACCAGTTTTTTTGCCTGTTTTCTTAGTGTGTTTATAGTGTCTTTATTGTACTGGCCTTGAATGTTGATACTTTGTCAAATTTTTTCTTTATGAATTCTATATCCATTACTTAGGAGAAGAACCCCTCTTTAAGAATATGAAGATACCCATCTATGTTTTCTTCTAGTACCTTTAGAGAGGCTTTTTATTTGTAGTACTGGGAATTGAAACTAGGGGTTCTCTCTACTGAGCTACATCCCTGACTGTTTTTAAAAATTTTGATGGAAGGTCTCACTAAATTACCCATGCTGACCTTGACTTGTGATCTTACTGCCAAGTTAGATTGGCATTGCTTTACCCTCCTGAGTAGCTGGCATTACAGGCATGTACCACTGAACTTGGCTGTATAGGCTTTTGACTTTTTAAAATGTGTATCTTTAATATTTTGGAATTGATTTTACAAATTTTATATAGTGGCAACTACATTGTTTTTGTGATTGTATAGCTGATGGTTTTGGTACTGGCTGGTTAGCTCAGTTTTTCTTATCACCGTTGATTTCAAATACTATTCTGCTACTTGTTGATTTCACCCTCTTCCCTCACTGTAAGCATGTAGATAGTGTAGCTTCCATGGTCTGTTCCTCCAGTAGGTCTAGTAAAGTATGCCTGGACTCAGTAGGTAGCAGGAATCACTGTGCTCACAAGCAGGCAGCCAATTGGTATTGTAGGAAAGGCTATTTGGGTTGGGCTCCCAGGATTTTTGTGGGTCTGAAGGGAGATAATGTGGGGTCCATGATGTAGTTCAGCCATGAAGTGACAGGGTGACACATTAGTAATAAAATTGATTGTGAGAATCAGAGAATAGTACAAGAGAGTCAGGGGCCTATGTGGCTGGGGTACTAGGGATAGAAGAAGGAGGTTTTATATAATGTTTCTGGAGAATGCTGTTACTTTTGCTAGATTGAACCCAGAGGATGGGTAGACTGGCATAAGCAGGAGATACCTGGCCATTCCTACAGCTGCTTCTAGGGTATAAATAGGTGCAGCAACTGGCCTCTGGCTTGAGCTGGCAAGTTAGATTTATCCTTTGCTGATAGTTTGAAGGAATGAGTGTACTCAGCCATGAAGAGGTATGTTGCCACAGATGATGGTAGGAGACAGCTCATTCCTGGTAGAAACGGAAACTCACTGAGGCGCTGATGGAGTAGCAAATGTGTTAGTCAGCTTTTTGCTGCTGTGGCACAATACCTAGGAGAAACAACTCGAAGGAGCAGGGTTGGTTTTGGCTCATGGTTTCAGAGCTTTCAGTCCATGGTTGGCTGGCCCCAAAGGAGAAACTTGGTGGAGGGGTGTGTTGGAAGAAAGCTGCTTATTATGGTAGCCATGAAGCAGGAAGACAGGGAAAGAGCTGAGGGGCTGGGGGAGAGACAGGCGGAGAGAGACAGACCTGAGGA